GTGTGTGTGTCTGTTTGTGTCTCTGTGTGAGTGTGTGTGTCTGTTTGTGTCTCTGTGTGTGTGTGTCTGTCTGTGTGTGTCTCTGTGTCTGTCTGTGTGTGTGTGTGTGTGTGTGTGTGTTAGTGTCCTTCGTGTTCTGATGTGGTGTTTCTGTGTCTTCAGGGTCCGATGAAGAAGGGTTTGTCCCGCGTCGATAAACAGATGCGTAGAATCGCCGACATCCGCCGCCTGACGAAGCCGGGTCACGCCGTTAAAATCAGTGTGGAAGGAAACCGGATGCCGCTCTGATTTTAACCTCCGTAGGATTTATTCACTTTTTCTTTTTGTTTCTTTTTTTAATGTGTCGCTCCTGAAGCCCCCCCCTGCCCCCCCGCAGCCCCTCCTCAGGTCCAGATCTGCCTTACTGCAGGGCGGAGGTCACTTAGACTGGAGTCACAATGTGAATATCTGCTGTAAACTGTCTGAAGTCTTCTGGTCTTCGGCCATAAAACATCAAATCTGCTCCAAAACGATCCAGAGAATAAAGTATACATGCTGTTGTTACATTACAGGATCATTTTGGTGATAAACTTTATAATATTTGGTACCGAACCTTCCTCCCGGCCCTCTTTGTCCTAAATGTGAAGGTTGTTTTTGTTAATCAGCCGGTCAGACCTCCTCCTCGGTTCAGTTTGTCCCCCGTGTGCTCCCGTAGCGGCTGTACTGAAGTCTGTCTGCAGGACTGAGTTCACACCGCTGATTCTGCTGGATCCTGGTGTCGGATCCGGTCCAGAGCCCGTCTGTCTGCACTGTTCTGGATCAGATGATACTTTTCTTAATAAAGACTCAACAGAAAGTCTCTCTGCTGTCTCAACTCTTTATTTCTTATGTTTGGAAAGTGAAATCTGAGTTTACGGACAGTTTTAGTTTCTCACCGGCTGAATTGAACAGATTCGATATATTCGGTTGTTTTTAAGGCCCAACAATAAAGTTTAGGATGTAAGTTAAAACAATTTAAATAGTAAGTAAATAATGTGATTTAATACAATTTATGAAGCATTTTCCAAAAAACACTTTGATGTTCTCTCGCTAAAATCAGCTAATTCACTATGAATATTATTTCACTTCATATGTTTTATTCCCTGACTTGAAAAAAGAAAAGTTTCAGGCTGCAACAGTCTCAGTAAAAGAGTCCTGCTTTAATAACCTGTTGTGTTAAAAGTCTGAGTACAGCTGTCCAATATCCATCAATAATCAATAAAACACAGCTGTGATCATTCACTCTTTATTGTTATTGAACTTGAGGCAGTGAGAAGCATTCAGGAACAGGACTGAACGGAGACCAGATTAAAGTGGCATCATTCGAACCTCTCTGACACTGAGGAAGCGTCTCCACCGCTCTCGCCCGCCGCCACGTCACGTTTAATATATATTTATATATATATATTTAAATATATATTTATATATTTATATATATATTTATATATATTTATATATATATATATATATTTATATAAAGGAACATACGTCAACTTTATGGTCACTGGTGTGTTTTTGAACTTTTTCCAGTCTTTATGCTAAGCTACGCTAACCACATCCTTCCTCTGAATTCCACAGAGCACGCTGCCTAACAAAGGAGAAGCGCAGTAACTACAGTACTGGTCAAAACTGACTCAAATATCAATGTGCTACAGGACAATGTATTACTGCGCTAGAATCAGGACAGAAACAGAGAATCTGGTCAATTTTCAAAATAAAACTCCCACTGACGAGACAGTCACTAGAAGCTGCTCAAAGAAAACTTAAACTTTCAGCCACCGTGGCGGCGGCGGCGTGCTGGTTGGTTGGCGGTGGAGACGTCTGTCAGCGTGTCGTCCTGCTGTAAACAGACCGGCTGCACCGCTGGAGAAAAACTACTCTGAGGCAGAAACTAGAGTCAAGTCGTGTCACATGTTCAGTCGAGGCGGCGGACGCCTCCAGTCACAGGTGGGGGGCTGATGATGCATTCAGGTGATAGGTGGTGAAACTTTGTGAAGTTCAATTGTGGGAAGTTGTTTTTAATGTTGCTGTTAGCGACGCTTTACGATGCCGCAGACACATTTTCATGTTGAGATTTATGTAAAAAAAAAGATAAAATAAAGGCGGTTTTCCTGATCATAATGTGAACAACAACGTTTGTCTTTATTTAAACATTTGAGGAAGTTTTTAAAGAATCTAAAAGCCGACTCTTCAGTTTCAATGTGACTAAAATCAGTTTTAGATTCTCTTTAAGACTTTCCGATCAATAATCAATCGATCGGACTTCATTGTATCGCTGCTTTGGTCCTGACTTCTCAGACTTATGTGATACGTTTACCAAACTGCACCTGAATGCACCATCGTTAAACATTCAGCGCTGTGTGTGTGGGGGGGGCGTGTCCAGGTGAAGTGAAGGTGGATGATTGACAGGCGTGGCTCGGCAGGTGATTGGCTGTTTCATGCATCTGGTGAATCCTCTGCAGAGAGAGAGAGTCGTCAGTGAGGCGTTCAGGTGATTGATAAAGTGTGGGAGAGCAGCGAGTACCTGTCCAGAGGAGGGCGCTGTAGAGAGGGGGTGGGCTGTCAGAGGGAGGGGGCGTGGTCTATCCTCGGCTGTTCGGTAGACGACCCATTCCGATCCGGTCAATGGGAGGCGGATTGACTCGTCGGCGCGGCGACTCGACGACCTTGCTGCAAACAGAAAAAGGTTGAAGAAGCTGCAGAGGTCAAATCGTATTCCAAAGCTTCCTGTCAGATTCTAAAGCATTTTATTTACTTTGTATCAGCAATGAGTGGAACCAGGAACCTCTCAGGGTTCTGGTTCTGGTTCTGGGTCGTCCTACCTCTGCTTGTTGGTCCCCTGTTTGGTTTCCATGGAGTTGACCGACAGGCGGTCCAGCGGGGCGTTGTTGCCGGGGAAACTCCTCTTCTTCTTTGGCTCCATGACGTCATTCTCCATCCTCACCTGGTCGTCCAATCGGAGCAGCTTCGCCGTTAGCTCCTCCCCCGCCTTCGCCCCTCTGGGACGAAGACCCGCCGAAGACCTGGACGCGGGCCGGTCTACGTGCTGGAACACAGACACAAGGACGTCCATCAACTTCATCTATCGTGACTTTTAAAGCCGAAACATCTGCATCGCCACGACAACCGGGTAACATCTGCTGAGGAAGATCATGTGACCTCTGTTGAATGCTTTAGAACAGCTACGAAATGGACCACATGATCAGCTGCTGTTGGCAGAGGTCAGGTGTTTATTAGTAGACAAACTGGGCTAGGTCTATGTACAGGAACACAGCTGGGCTAGGTCTATGTACAGATTCAGGGATGTGCTGGGATGTGTTTATACACTGAAACAAAAGAACGGGCTATGTCTATGTGCTGGCACACAGTAAGAGGACACAGTCACGCAGAGCAGTGCTGCTTTGTTGTAACATAAGCTGGGTAGAGTGGGATCAGTCTACATACTGGAACACAAGGATGGTTTCACTTTCCACCGCACACACTCGTCTCTGTTAAACGCCTCCATGTTTTATTTTCTATAAGGGAGTCTCCGTATAGCAAATATTGACCTCCGCAGAGGAAGGCCACCCTGCTCCTCGCCCTCCGCCTCGCCGGCTGTTTTCATACGTCAGGACTCCATGTTGTGAGTCACTTCTTACATCACGACCCTGACGGCGAGCAGCTCCTGACTTCCTGTGCGCCCGCGGGCCTCCGATGAGTCACAGGATCAGATATCGTCCAGACTAAACAGAAAACAGCGTCGGGTTTGTCTTTGTGTTGGCCTCCGCTCTGATGTTCCTCCACCTGATATCAGCACAGCGGCCTCTGAGGGAGGGGCCGTTTGTTTTGGCCCTCAGGACTCGGAGGATCTGAGAGTTCGATTCCCCTCTGAGATACAGCGGAGTCAGTTTCTGTCCGGTTTGAATGAAGTTACGATGATCTGAAGGCTGAATAACAACCTGAGTCTGTCAGTGGACGGACAGTAGACACGTTAGCTCACGTACACCAATAATAACCGACTAACTCACTAAATTAAAGAGTTGGTGAGCAACCGTAAACTCATTAAATGTTCCTCAGCTTTATTTTGAAGGTCTAACTTTGACCTTGCCTCTCGAGTCCTCTGAGACCAAAGACCAGATCATTCAGCAGCTTATTCTGACCTGAGCGGGTTGGACCCTGAAGGCATCGGCGCCGCAGTGGAGCAGAGTGATGGACAGCAGGCAGGACAACAGCAAACAGCCACAGAACTGCATCTGCAACAACAACAACAACCTGTCAGAACATCCAGCAACGTTGCTTTTTCAATAGTTTATGTTTCTGGAGACACGACGCAGCTCATTTATCTACGTTTACATTGCGGCTGTGCAATGCATTGTGGGACATCAGCAGCTCACTGACAAAACTAACTTTGTTAGTTCGATTACGACGATTTTTGAGTATAAAATCATTCTCCTTCTCACAAACACACACACACTCACACACCCAACACACACACACACAGAAACCTTTTTAGCTCAGCTGAGAACCGTATTGTCCAGCAACATCGGCCTAAATTTTAGCAATATATTCACATCACACGCAAAATCGTATATATAATCACAGTCACGTGCACTCTTTGCTGACCGAGAAGCTCTGCATTCCCCCCCAACAACACACACACAACACACACACACACCACAACACAAGACCAACCACCATCTCTGTGCGATATTTATGAAATTGTTCATCAGATGCAACTTCCATTCACAAACACGATATAGGAATCTGCTACGACACTGCAGCTATCTCATTCAATAGCACGTGTGAAGAACACACACACATATGAAACACCACACACACACACACACACAACACACACACAACACACACACACACACACACAGATTCATATCAATAATCACCCATTAGGCATAGAGTTACTATACAGGTCCATCATAGACACCGTATATCACATTATTCTAGCCGAGGTTTAAATTTTATTTATTTATTATTATTTATTCATATGTTTGTTTTATTTGTTGTTCTTATTTACCATTTTTACTGTTAAAAGTGTTATTGGGGAGT